AAATGTTTTAATCTATAATTTATTATAAATATATAACAAATTCAAAGACAGCTTCCTGATGTTTTCCTTATAATTTTTAAACAAAAATCCAAATTTGTATTTTCAAGCTTATAAAAAACATGCAAGTTTGTATTTATTTATTTAAACTTTTTACATCAGACAGCCACATTGTAATAGTAAAAAACACATCACAACACATCTTAATATAAAACTGGAGTGACTTTATATAATGTTATCTAACATAACCAAATCCTAGGACAGCAATATTTTTAAGAAATTTAATAGGAAATCTGCTACTTTTGTTATTTGAGGCAAGATATTCTTTTTTTTAACAAATGAAACCAGTAAAGCTAAATAAAAGATGGATTTTACACCAACCCTAATAAAAGTTAATAGTGATCGAAACTCAATCCAGTAAGTGCAAGATCCAGATTTAAGTCATCAGAAAAAAAAAATCCCATTGGAATCCCACAAATCTGTATATCAGATATTCATGAACTGCAACAAATCAATAGTACAGAAATCATTTAAAACTTGTGAGCATGATTTTTTCTTAGAGGAAACAGAGCACAATTATTTAAGAAAAAGTGCAACACAGACAGTGGAACATTGGCATATTCCATGGCTAAAAGCAGTGGGCTGATGTTGCCACTATCTCTACCTGGTGTAAACCACTTCTCTTGCTTACAGTGCTGATTTCCAAACAGACTGAATTTGACATCTTACATTTGCCATTCTCAAAAACTTTGTCTTTTGAATATTGGAGTGGAAATTAACTATCTAAAATAGGTTTTCTCTAAAATAATCCTTAAAATTTTTTTCTTTTTCTCTTCACAAGTATCATTATACAAGAAAAAAACACTTGAAATTTTCTTTTCTACACACGGTTTGCAACATTTCTGCTCACAGAATAAATATATGCTTGGACACAATTTTCCATGATTTTCTGTACAAAGACTAATTTTACTCTTGAGTCTATGAGTAAGTATTGGGAATTCATACCACACAGTGAGGAATTAGGGATGTAAAATCCTCATGTAAATATGTAGTTCATGATCTTACTAGGAGGCATCAAATCTCATAAGAGAAGCTCTTCAAGCAAGTGCTACTAAAAATAATTCTCTTCTTGTTTCAGTTAATTTAGTTCACATGCAAGGTTAATTTCCACAAGGATACAGCCCTGAAAAGGGGGGATGAGAAAGTCCAGGAACAACAAAGCTTGTCCCTTCGTACCTCTTTTACACCAAGGCTACAGAAATGTTCTATATTCACTAACAGTGCAGTTAATCATTTTCAAGGAACCTAATGCAATCATGGGTTTGTCTGAGAAATGAGTAAAGGGGATGAACCTTAACCTAAACACCTTAAGTCTGTTCACGACAATATTGCTTTTCAAGTGTATTTGAAAAGAACTTGAAAAAACAACTTAAAACAAAATCTGTGCTTATTCTCATTCTCCCAAAGCAAACTGTGCTTCTTACCATCATATTTCCTTGATACTACTTTATAGTTTTTTCTATCCTTCTTCACAAATAATTTCTACCAGTGTTGACAGGAGTTAAGAATGTGGAGTTACATTTATAGAAGGAGAGTTTTGTTTAATTTACAACAAGCACAGAGCTCACAGATGCTGAAAACTATAACTGTAATGTATCTCAAAAAAATAGTGCAAGTAGAGTTTCATCTCTAGACTCAGGTCTAATATTATCCACACATAAAAATCATTCTCCCCCAGCAGTAAAATTTGATGAACCAGCTTATAGCAAACAATTATTACGTATTGTATTTGATAGCTATTGGGTCTCTCTTAAAATAAATAGTTAATCTTGCTGGGCTAAGAAAAAATCACATCCTTAAATAAATGGACTTGTAAAATTCCCAGAATATGTTACCCTGGAGATTCATTTTAATACCTATACTTAAAGGCCATTTTTCAGAAGGAAAATGATCTCTGAGGTATGTGAGTACAGCATACTATTTATTCTGTACTTACAAATAAGTATCTCACATAAAAATACAAAAATGGAAATTTTATAGAAAATGTCATCTCTTTCAATGCTTTATCTTTTAATCAGAATGCCAAGTCATGATTGCAAAAACAGAAACTACAGTAAAAGAATCACTGTAAAAATTACAAATTGCTCAAAAGTTGCATGAAAAAAATTTTAACATAATAAGCATATTACATGGAAATACATTACATATTGAGAATGTACAGAATACAACATATTTCTTCACTGGGGTGAACTGTACATTGAACAAGTCCTATTTTCATAGTTGAATGACAGAGAAACTCATTGCATTGGTTTGACATGCTGTTATATGTCTCTCTCTGTAAATTTATTCTCATCCCAATGAACAAAGCACCTGCAGATAAGCAAAGGGAAAGGGAAAAAAAACTGTGTTGTGAAGACACGTACACTGTGTCTCATTCTTCTATAACAAAAAGAAAAAGCATCTCACAACAATAAAAACAAAAGGAATACAATTAAGATCAGGAAGGTATAAGAAGCACGGTTATACGCTTAGTCTGGTTCAGTACATCCCCTTTCAATGTACAGAGAAATAAGGAAATGGATTAGGCAGAATAGCTTCCGGCTGCCATAAAATAAGTCTACATAGACAATTTATGTCACCTGGGTCAGGGCGTTCCCCGGTATCAATACAGGCTGGGGGATGAATGGCTTGAGAGCAGCCCTGC